TCAATTAAGGGTAGGCAACGCATCTGCAATTGTGGATGCCTATGGGCAGCGGTCGCTTTCCATTTTGGTGGATTCAGGTGGCCGCTGGCTTGTTTGCCACCTTATAGTATAAAAAAAACCATTCACAATATTTCTCAGTCAGGATATCATCGATCTACCAAGCTCGTATCGTTCAAACAATGTTCTCACAATGATCCCTATTTTCAGGATGATTTAAATTCTCTCGAAATGCTACCGTATAGTATAAAAAAAATCGTTGCTGCAAAAAGCATTTGAACCTTCAAAAGAGGACATTTTCTTTTCAACTGATTTTTTAGTTGATAAAAATATTGTTTAAATCTTGATTTGGAATAAAGTATAAGTTAACATTTTGTAATGTTTTTATTTTTATTTTCAGATACAAGTGGACTTACAGCATTTACTTTGCACTTTGAGAAGTACATAACGCTAATAATATAATGTATAGTGATTCATATTTATTTAAAAAAGTGCTCTTTCTGATTTTAATCACGTATACTTCGTAGTATTTAATATTGATCAACTGTGTGTAAAATGAATGTATGTTAAATTAGAATCTACGCGCCATATTGTGACGTCATAGCTGTCAAATAGAAAAATACGTCACTGACCTCTATAAATCGACAGGCTATACAGTATTTTTTGCATATTGACTAAATAGACATAGAATATGGCATAATTACAACAGCTACAGTATGAAAGCATCTTATGACAGTGTTTTGACATTTTGACAACTGTCTACTGTTTTGTGGGCGCTAGTGAGCTGTCAAAATTTATTTTGTAACTGTCAGTTTATAAAATAGATATTTTTTTTTTAAAGAGGCACATTCTTATTTAATAAATTTGGATTTTAAATATATTTAATCTTGATGTTAAATGTTTAGTTATATTTCTTTTAGTTCACATTAATGACTATGTAGCATTTCCATTTCAGAACCTGTTTATTTTTTTTTTAAGAAATCAATTAAAATGTAACTAGATTTTATTTTTGACAGCCAAAATGTATGGCTGTGCTGTGGTCGTTATTTTATTAAATTAATTTATTGAAAATCTTTAATATTTAAACTAAAAATTTGGAAAAAAGAAATTGTATCACTTTTAAATGTTTTTAGATTTTTCATTCCAAACTTTTAATTATTTTGCGCTTACCCTATTAGTTAATTGCTAGTTAAAAATGTTTTAAACGAGCTTACTTCACGCTTTAATCCTTCATAGCAAATCTTTTTCTAACCCTTGTCTTATTAAATTGGTTAATTTATTGAAATCTAAAGTATAAAAAAGGATTTATTAAAATGTAGAATATGGAATTTATACAAAATACACAATAATAACCAATTTTTATCATTTATCAATAAATATGATAGAAAAAATATAAAATCTATGGTTAAAATTCCGCAGAAAATAATGTAAATATACAGAAACGCAGGAAAACTCACATATTTTGGACACGTCGATAATACTGAAGTTGTAATAATTGCAGTCAAAATTATTCGATAACACGTTTAAAACCGCATTAAACATTAAAAAAAGGCACTTTGATGCATAAATGTTTGCCACCCCTGTCCTATACGACACTAACATACATATGTGCATATAAGTTGGTTGAATAAAAACATTCCAGAATGGAACAAAATTTTTAACAATTAAGACTTGTCCCACCACTGACTGATATAGGTTCAGATAGCTTACAATTCACTTTCAGATAAGAGAACAAAATCCGATATTTCCATAATAAATTTCAATTTTGGATTAGACAATTTACAATATGGTGGGATAGGCCCTAAATATCGTTTTTTCTCTATTTTTCGTATGAAATTTTCAAGAGATGATGTTTATTTTTTAAAACGTCTCATTCGATCGTGTGTTTAATAGTAGTGTGTTTTGCTTCATGTTTAGGCGATTTACTTAATTTTAATTTGTTATATCCTTGCCTTATATGCACAAGACTTCAAAGTTGCGTTCGTAAACTTGTATAAAATAGTATAAGATATAAAAAGCTATCAATTGACTAGTCATTGGACTCTTTAAATTAAATCAGTGGTTCTCAACCTTTGGTCGCATTTTTTAAAATCATTTTATTCATGTGGAATCAAAAATAACTATAAAAAACATACAGATGAATTGAGTACCTTCTTTTGGGAAGTCGGTCAATAACTAATTTGTAAGTTCAATACAGAAACATTTAATCTAAGGTAATAAAAAGGTTGACAACCACTGGTTTGAAGGAACAATAAACCTTGCTATAAAATATATATTTACAAATAAATGAGCACTAAACAATATATCTGGGCCTAGTTTAATGTAAATTATTACCAGACCGTCCTTACCCAGATAAATGGTAAGCGAAGGGAATTAGATTTATCTAAATGTTTAACTGTTTTGTAACGATTAAGTCATGTTATACTTATGATTAATATTAAATATAGTTTCAGAAAGGTTTTTTATTTATTTCCCAACATATAACCTATTAGTTTACATGTATAGCACTATTAGCGCCCTGGGCGTGATCTCTCTTGGATTTTGACGCCCCTTATTCAGCCCTGGGCAGTCGTCTCGCAATTACTACAAAAGGAAAAAGATTCACAAAGGAATTTATTGGCGATGTTACATACACAATATTGTCCACTACTAATATTGTAGATGTCTGTAACATCTCATTGTCACAGTAACGCTGAGTGGAAATGTATTAATGAACATAGTAATTTCATAGACAAAACTCCAAATTAATTTATCTCTGTACTGGTTATGATTTTATGGAAGGATATGAAGTGGTTTTACTATGAAATTTATGTAATTAAATTATTGTAAAAAATTAAATACACGTTAGAAGATACGATTCTTTTATTTTTCGGAAACTATCTACATCTGTGATTCCCAAAGTGGTTTATATAGACTCCTAGGGGTTAAGACGACCTGCAAGGGGTCTATGTCAGCGAAAAAAAAATTGGGGGACCACGATAGTGGGTCTCACATACACTGATAGCACCTATTTACTTACGTCGTACTATCTTATAGTATCAAAACATGTACATTATTTATTTTCAGAAGTTTTAAATTAAATTCATTTAATAAATGTAAAAATTAACATGTGTTTTTAAATTTTAACACTTAACTTCACTACAGTTAGAAATTTACAGGAAATCAATATCAGGTAAGTAGGGGGTCTACCCAACACGGAAAGACATGGCAAGGGGTCCGCGACACAAAAAAGTTTAGGGAACTCTGATCTGTATGATTAAGTTAGTGGTTTTTTTTTATAATTGAGGTACTTTTTACTTCATGTTATTATAACTTTTTTTTTTATAAATAGTAGATTTTTGTGAATTTACTAATATTTAGCTCTGGGCTTATGCTAGGGATATGGTTCACAATAGTCGAATGGCGGATTCAAACCCTCGACCGCAAGATCGGTAGTCCGTATTCCAAACCATTAGGCTGTTGGCGCTTTTAAGGAATGGTTAAAAAAACTAAAGTACACCTTACCTTATCGTACGTAAATTTTAAACTACTATGTATACTAATATAATAAAGCGTAAACACACACTTCGCTGTTGCCAGCAACTGCAGCATATTTTTAAATAATTCATTTTTTAATAAACCTTACACTTACCTCACGCTTTAGGCTATATATTTCACGCCATTAAACTTAGGGGGTAAATATTTTGGATAAAAAACCCTAATGTGGGAAAGAGACCATAAGTTGCTGCCAACATCAAGGAAGCAAGGTTGCCATGGTTTGTCATAATGTCATGTCATTTTGACATTGGCAATTGATAATTCGACACATGTAAACAGCAAAATAAAATTTTCATAATTTTATGCGGATGAAGTCGCACGTAAGCAGCTAGTTTAGTACTAAAGATACTAAAAAGTGGATTTTAGGTAAATTTTTAGTTGGTGGTATTTAATTCGCTATGGTACACCCGCCATCTTAACACAGTTTATAGGGTCAAAGGTCTATTTAAAAAAAGTCAAGTTAGGTCAAAGTTTTTATTGAAGTTCTTATATTACATGAAACTTATAACTATCTTACATTTGTATAAACCTTGTATTGGCAGAAAAATATATTTCATATAATGAAAATATAACACGGTTTTTTTTACAATGTACAATTTTTCGTTCATTAAGAAACAAGTGTTGGTGAGCAAAAACAATTATTTTTCACAAAATATAAAGTCAGGCGTTTTTCATGATTCAAAAGAAATGAAAAAAAAAATATTTACACATTGCGGAATAATTTTTCAAAGTTTTTTTAATTGATGTTTCAAACACTATCTAGTAATTATAAAGAAATCTTTGATTTGAAATATCCTTAATTCATGTTTATCTGCAATTTATTGCCATTGAGTACTGTTAACGGTTATTTAACGGATCAAATGTTGATAGGAATAAAATTATAAAGAGGAAAGATTTGTATTTTTAGGTTTTTATATGTATTGAAACAACTCAAAAACTACTGGGCCGATTTTAAAAATTCTTTCACCATTAAAAAGCTACGTTATCAGTTAGTAACATAGGCTATATTTTTCATTCTTTTTTAATTTCACGCGGACGAAGTCGCGAACAACAGCAAGCTTAACAAAAAAAATGTATTTTGATGAAAGTTACTGTTGTTGAGATATTTTTTTTTACGTATTGTCCTATGTCTGTGGGTTGTTGGCGTGTGCATGCGCCCCGAGGCGCGCGGGGTCCTGGCTGGGGTAGTGCATGCCGGGCGGCGGCGCCCAGCCCCAGCCCGGGCCCACCCCGCCCACTCCACCCCCGTAGTGCTGCAGGTTGAAGAAGTCGTTCGGACGGTTCGGCGGCGGCATCTAACAAAATAAATCATCTATATTAATATAATAAAAGGGAAATACACTTTGTTATGTAGAATGTTAGCAATCACGGCAAATTTTTTTTTATAAAAAAACTCTAAATTTACGATATGCTATACATACATAGCGTGAACATTGAACATATAGACTTTATATGTTCAATATTCAGACTATGTAATTTACATGGTGTAATTGGAGAAAACAGTAATGGGGGACAGAAACAAAAAAAAGCCAATAACAGCAAAAAATAAAATTGCAATGTTAACCAATGACAAGCCTTCATTTTCATTTGTGCATTTGAATTTTGACATTTGCTATTGAACAGAATGTTAAGAACAAAATAAAGATTTTATAACGGGGTGAAACCACAGTAACATCTAGATGGTAATAAGAGATGTATATCTACATGAAGACACAAACAGGTACGAGTAGGAGACGCATAGGAAAGGAAAATATCCTCTTTATGTGCGTCCCCTCCGCTGTCGATTTAGTGTAGGCAACGCATATGCAATTTCGGATGTCTAGGCAGCGGTCGCTTCGCCATTTTGGCGGATTCAGGTGGTCGCTTGTTAGTTTGTCAGCTTATATTTATAAAAAAGGAATTTACTGTAATTGAAACAGTGCAAATTTGAGGTAATTACCTGCGGCGGGAAGGGGTGCAGGAAGGCGGGCGGCGGCGGCGGCAGCGCGCCCGGCAGCCCCGGCACCGGCTCCAGCGCCGGCATCTCGCTCTTCTCGCTCACACCTTGCCGCCCTGCCACACATTATACTAATAGAATAAAGCGCAAACACACGACTTTATGGCGTAGGATGGCAGCAATTACCGCGTTTTTGAACAATTCTTTCTTTAATAAAAAACCCTACACTTACGACACACTTTAGGCTATATTTCACGCTATTAAACTTAGGGAGGTAAATAAATTGAAAAAATCCATGTGGGAAAGGGACCATAAACTACAAGTTGCCAACATTGAATAGTTATCTAATATCAAAGGCTTTTTTTGTCACTTTTGCATTTGTATTTTGACATTTGCAAATGTAAACAATACAACATTTTTTTATAACATGCGAATGAAGCCCCATGGGAACAGCTAGTAATTTATAACCTCACCCCCTCAACTTCACCCTGAAGGACCCCTGACGGGTCTGAAACATGTTGGTGTCTACAGCAAAGGTTGTCATGTGAGTTTAGCCATGTTATAAATTATGTATCCCTCGCTTAAATAGAATACTACATCAAAATGTCCATTTCTTACAAGATGCATTTAATTTGTAACTTTTATTGTTATCAGACTACATCTTTGAATTTCTTTACAGAGGCACACAACAAGTTTTCCTCCACCATAAAAAACGATAGGTTTGATTCTTCCAAATTAACTAATCCTATGTCACTAATGTTAGAAGAGTTTAATTTGTCCTGAATACCTTGAGACTTGCCCCACTTGATAGTCAATCTCTTTCCTCCGATCACCAATCTATTGAATGTTTTCTCCGCAGCATGCTCAGCTGCACTCCGGGTTGTGTACTGTACAAACGCACACTGAGCTCGCGGAACTAAAGTTAAACATCTGAAAAAATAAAAAAGATACTAGTTTAATCATATGAAAATATCATATATACGAAAAAAAAAACAGGGATATTCCCTATTCCTGTACCAGCGCAGCCTACAGTAACAAGTTTCAGAACGTTTTCGTATTTTTTTTTTAATTAAAGTATCTGTAAACCACGTTATTTTTCTTTTTTTGTTAATAAATGGCTGTTTTATTTATCTAATTTTTTAAATATACATGATACTTTTAAATATCATCAACCTGCCCTTGACCCTATGGAGTCAGCACAGTATATGATCTTACATACATCTCTATCAGCTTTCAAATTTCAATTCACTTCCATAAACATCCTCTTTCACACGATCTATACTTTCTTTGGTCTTCCTCAGCCTTTGCATCCAAATTTGATCTTAATACTGTCTTGTTTAAAATAACTTTAAAATATAATTTCAATTTATTGTGCTCAAAATGCATAGTACTTTATAAATATTAGTTCAAATTATTAAAATACTTTACCTTATCTCTCCATACTGATAGAAATGTCCTTTAAGTTCATCCTCGGTTATAGTATCAGGCAAGTTGCCGATGTACAATGTGGTAACCGTTCTGTCTTCCGGCGGAGGTAGGGCTGGCATTGCGGCTGCACGTCGCATCAACTTCTCCGCTACTGGGTCATTCACACCATAGTACCTGTAGAGAAAACATTATTTTAATTACTAATGTGTAAGTATGTTGTAAAACCGTTGGTGGCAGTGGTTTAAGCACTTGACTTGTAATCTACAGTTCTTAGGTTCGAATCCCGATGTACCAATGTGATTTTCGATTTTTCGAATTTTCATATGTACATAATTTAACTGACGTTCTTATGGTGAAGGAAAACATTGTGATGCAACCTGCACATATCAGAGAAGAAATTCAAAGATATGTGTGAAGTCAACCAACCCGCATTGGGCCAGCATGGTTGACTATGGCCTAGCCATGTCTTATTTAGGGTAGGCTTCGAGCCGCTTGGTGGGGACGTATAGTGAGTTGGTGATGATGATGATGAAGTATGTTGTAAGCCTCTAATAATGACATACTATATCTTTTTAGCCCAGAGTTCTTAATATTCTTGCTTACGCTTTATATCTAAGCTATCATACTTCACATTAATACAAATATGAGAGTTTGAATTGATGTTTTTTATAATAAAAGGGGGCAAACGAGCAGTGAAAACACTGAGGTAGTCAACACACTTGGACAGACGCAACACCAGAGGAACTACAGATGTGTTGCTAGCCTTTGAGGAAAAATGTAAATGTATTTCTGCTTCTTTACATTTACAATCATATAGAGATATCAATATTTAGCATAAATTTAGCCTATATTTGGTCTTACCAAGTTTGTTTTCAAATTCTGTGTAGATAATCACATGCCAAAGTTATTATGTTTGAAATGTATTAAAATATATTGAAGTCAAAAAACATACCTGTCCTTAATATTTTGATCAGCCAGAGGGTCATCAGGATCTGTGGGCTTTTCATGCCGGTAAGGACATTCTTCTCCTCTCCTACATTCTCCTTTCACCCAGAATGAGCACACATGAGGTCTATTCCTTTTATAATATGGAGCAGTTCTAGCTAATCTTAATAACAAATCGGAAGCACCCTTAGACTTCAAAGCTGAGTTACTGGGTTGTGTTTCATCCATGTTAGACATCTGACTGTCTAGATTTTGAATGTAATACTCCTTGTTCACTTCATTACGAGGTAAATCATCTTGGATTTTCAGCGCAGCATCTCTCACTTGGATAGGCAAACCATATTCTAAATCTAATAGACATGTTTGACAAACATTCTTCAATTTTGAGCACGTTTGACAGATTTCAGTCTTCTTGAAACGCATTCTGGAACCAGGACACCAACGGAAGACGGTGAAAGGGCGGCAACATATTTTACACTCTTTGCCATATTTCTCTTTGGTCTGAAATGAAAGATTTTAATTTGTTAGAAACAAACAATGCAAATTATTAACACAACTCAGATGACGTAAATCACTTACCATACGAATGTAGGGGTTATCTCCAAGACAAGTTTGACATAATATTGGAAATTCCTGTAACATACAATAGTAAGTAAAATAGATAGAACAGTTAAATAGTAAACAAAGATGTTATACGATTTATTTAATCTTACAGAGTCTTCCCAATTTTGTCGATTGTACGTGTTAGTAGACTTGGACATAGCCATTTTGAAGGGTCAATGGAAATACTTATTTGCAATACGTATTAAAATTTTAGCAAATGTTATCTTGTGTGCATGTTATAAATATAATGAATGAAATGAGTAACACGAATTAATTAAAATATGTTGAAAATATGTAAATAAAAACTGACAAGCCAGAAGCCAAGGAATAATGGCGGATGACGTATGAATGAAACGGAAACAGTGTTGCCATTCCTAGTGCCAGTGTTGCGCTTTGTGGTGCAGATTTAAAAGACAAGGTATTTTTTGCGCTCGAAAAGTGAGTAAATCAATTTTCAAAGCTTTAATATAAATCTACAACAAAACTAGTGTATGACACGATTTCAAGTAACTTCTCAAAAGAATTGCATATGTCCGGATACTCTTACTCTATTTTAAGCAGCGTTGGCATTTGACATATTTGATTTGACTTCTAACATTCTATTGTCAAAGTCAAATATTTAATTCCTACAGAACTTTTCTCTAGGTGTTTTTAAAGCAAATATAAATAACAGTTCGTGGTAAAATTCGTGTATATAGTATAAGCATTTGTATGTTATAATTATTAAGTGTAACAAAAATAATTCTGTGTTAAGTAATGTCGATAACAACATTGGTACGTTTGTTTATTACAAACTTGTGCACCGGTGTTAACTTTACTTGAACTTATTATAATTTCTTTTTAGTATTATGTACAATTGAAAAAAGAAAATGCTCACGAAGATTCAATCTGGTGTTGTGCGTGGGGTCGTATAAAAAATGAAAAAAAGAAAGAAACGGAAGAAAACGCCGAACCAAATGAACATTCACAGTTCGTACATAACCTTATATTTTGTTAATTAAATATTACGAATTACTTGACTTACTAAACTTATTACCCATTTTTAAATAAATGTTCATTTAGCTAATTTTCATCTTGTTGCAATTTCAGAGACTCTGGAGATGGCACTGAGGTGACCTATGATGATTACATTATAACTGGAGGGCTGGATGATATAATCAAAGTGTGGAAATTAGTGGATGGAAAGCTGGAATTAAGACACCAACTTGAAGGACATTCATTAGGTGTAATATCAGTGGCAATAAGTCCTGATGGCAAAAGTGAGTTCAGGTTCATATTTTTTACTATTTATGATTACTACAAATATGTATGGTACACCGGTAGAGGTAGACCTAGAAAGAGATGGATGGATTATGTGAAAGGTGTTATAAATTAAGGAATTGATGACTGAGATGATATATTATAGAGTTACTTGGAAGACAAAAACATGTTTCACTACTACAGGAGTAGGTAGATGATGATGGATTATTCAATGAAAGTTTTACTTTTTCAAATGTAATATTATTCCACAAATTTGGAATTATCACAATGTTAAATCTGTTTTTAAGTTATTTATGTGTATGCAAAATTATGAAGATGTTTTTTAATGTTAATTCCATAGCTCTAGCTAGCAGTTCACAAGACTCATCTTTAATATTATGGGATATTGTTAATGGTGAAAAATTAAAAACGTTAGAAACTGGACCTGCTGATATATGGACTTTAGATTTCTCCCCAGATGGGAAAAATGTTATTACCGGTACAAATTCAGGGAAAATATTAATATTGAATATTGAGAATGGTAACCAAGAACAAGTTTTAGACACAAGAGGAAGGTTCACACTTAGTTTGGCTTATGTAAGTAACATAATAACAAAAAAGTTAACTGAACATTTTATGTATTTGAAAAACACTTAATATATATGGTATGACTTAAAAAAAAACATGCAATGCTAGCTAAGCTTTTAATTTCGACTTTTTCATTGTGGAATTAAAAAACTAAGTAGATTATGTGGTACAAGATTATGTTCAATGTGTCTAATTTAATTGAGATTTGTTAAACTGTATCGGAGATATGTTGCAAACATCCATCCATTCAAACTTTTGCCTACATAATGTATGGATATCATTAGCTATCCATATAAATGAAAATAATTTCACTTTATTTCATGAATTTCACAATGCAAATTTAAGTTTCCTTTGTTTATGATTTACAAGTTGAATTGGAAAAAATATATCAAATTTAATACAATAAATAATTTTGTTATTAGAGTCCAGATGGTAAATACATTGCAAGTGGAGCATTAGACGGTATTATAAATATATTTGATGTAGCTCAGAGCAAACTTGCTCACACACTAGAGGGCCATGCAATGTCCATTCGCAGTTTATGCTTCTCTCCGGATTCACAATTACTGCTGACGGCCTCCGATGATGGCCAAATGAAGATTTACGATGTGTAAGTGACATTTGATTAAAGTCTCCCAATTTCTCAAAAATTTAGTTTAAATTTTTTTTTGTACCACATTATGAATATGTACTGTCTTGCCCCAAAAAAATGTAGTTCAACAGTATAGTTAAACATATGTTTTAATTCTTTGTCCACTTATTGATATGGGGGTCATTTTTTATTTAAATTATTTTATTATTTATTGGTCAAAATCTTATTTTGCAAGCCTAAGCATAGTAATGTTTCTATAACCATGATTTGTCAGTAATAATTGCTATTGCTGATAGCCGAAAAAAAAGATGATGTATTAAGCTAAAATGCCTTTTAAACATTGCCTAAGATTTTTATCTTAAGGCCTGAAGTGTTAATTTTTTTTAACATTGTATTTAAGTATACGAATTGGAATAATTATATCATAGGTAGTTAAATGTTAAGCAGTATTTTTTTAATTGTTTTTATTTCAATCACATGATTTCAGTGTTCACGCTAATTTGGCAGCGACTCTATCCGGGCATGCGTCATGGGTATTATCTGTGGACTTCTCTCGAGATGGTAAAAGGTTTGTCTCTGGCAGCTCGGACCGGACTGTCAGAGTTTGGGATTTAGAAACTATGCAGTGTCAAAATGTGTTCAAAGAGCATACGGATCAGGTAAGAACGTAACCTAGTCTTTCCACAATCAGATATCTTGTGAGGATATTCCTACCTATAGATCGAATTTGAGAAACAGTTTTAAATATGTAATATAGGCAAAAGAATTGAAATCTTAAAGACCATGATGTTATAATGCCAAAATTTCGTTATATCACTTTTTTAAATTGACCTTTGCTTAATATTATTTGTTCCAGGTTTGGGGAGTAAAGTTTAATGCAGACAGCAATAAAATAGTTTCTGTATCAGAAGATAAAAGTATAAATATTTATGACTGTCCTTTATAGAAATCTAAATAAATATATACACGATTCCTTTTGTTTTTTATTAAGATCCTGGTCTATGTAATATATCTAGAACTGTTACTGAAAATAATGGTCGTTTTAGGGCCGTGCCTATTTAACTTAAAACATTTTCATTTTACCGACTACAGAAAAAGGAAACTCGATCGATATATTCTAAAGTATATACGTTTATTTTCGTTTAAAAATGTCTCATATTTGCAATAAGTGATAAGGTTATACAATAACATTTAAAAACGTAAAATCTAAAGTCATAAGTGACACTGACATATCCACTGTCAGCGCTGGGTCAATTTAAAAGAAAAAATTATTAAAAGACGATATTATTACAAATATTATCTCCTTGTAATAAAGTTATTTCTACAATGCCTGCTGCAGCGATGGTAATTGGTATATTAAACAAGTTTTATTACTCTATACGGGAATTTAATATGGTTTGTTTCTTAAATTCATGTTGTTTCAGTATTCTTTACTTATAAAAAAAGAAAATGCCCACGAAGATCCAATATACTGCTGTGCATGGACTCAAACAAATATTTCTGCTGACCCAAAGTATGTTAAGATTTATTAAACATTTTGCTTGTACTTATTAACACGTAATTAACGACAAAATGTAAGACTTAAGTCCTTGCATTTTAATTAATAATGATAACTTAGATCAACAAATACCTAAGTGTTCCCGCCGTTTCTTTGTCCCCCTTTTTATTATAAAAAAGAATATAAACCAATATTATGGCTTTTAAAAGCAGCTTATTTACCGGTATAGATAAAATTTCGTCAGCAGTACTTTAAATTATTTTTTAAACTATTTAAACAATGAAAACGCATGTTATGACGTTTTTATCAAATTCACAGGGAACAGAAGAAAGATTTTATAGTTACTGGAGGTCTAGATGGCTTAGTAAAAGTATGGCGTGTAGATAACTACAAGTTGGAATTGTATCACACATTACAAGGGCACTCAATGGCTGTAGTTTCAGTTGCTGTCAGTTCTGATGGACACAGTAGGTATTAAATAGCATTTTTAACATATAATGTATACTGTAATCTTACTATTATGCAAAAGTTGAGATGGATGGATGGAAGGATGTTTGTTAGAGTTTATAGCCTAAATGCCAAACAGATTTCAATGAAATTTGGCACAGATGTAGAGCATAGTCAGGAAGAACATATAGGCTACTCATTATTGTTCTTTTTATTCACATGTGGATGGTGTCTCAGGCTCTAGTGGTATATTAAAACTTGTCTTAAAGACATAAAGGCAATTGAATGTTTAATCATAATATATGGACAACAGCCTTGGTCTGTCTGTGCGGAATATAAAAATACTAGAATTAAGTATCCTATGTGTATTTCCAGACTTCGCTTTATATCTATGTTAAATTTTATCAAGACCATCTTACAAACATGCATCCATCTAAATTTTCTCATTTATATTAGTAAGATACCAATTTGTTAGTAAATTTATGTATTCATTATTTAGTTCTTTAATTTTCTATATTCTGGGTCTTTATTGTTGGTTTAATTTTTTTTTAGCGATAGCCTCAGCTTCATTAGACTCAACTATGATAATATGGGATTTAACATCTGGTAACAAAGTCCATGAAATACAAAGTGAAGCTACAGATGTATGGAAGATTGAGTTTTCTCCGAACAACACACATGTTGCCTCGGGAAGTCATACAGGGAAAGTTGTCATATATGATATTGTGAAGGGGATGGTCCATAAGGTTTTAGATACGAGAGGCAAGTTTACTGTTTGTGTGGCATGGGTAAGTCAATTTTATGCTAGCTTTCGTCCATAACTCCGTCTGTGTGGAAAAAAAACAAAAGTAAGTAGCCTATGTGTTCCAGACAATCCTCCATCTGTACTAAATTTCATGGAGATCCTTTTAGCAGTTTAGGCTACAAACAAACTTCCATCTATCTAAACTTTCGCATTTATAATAGTAAGATCTGACTATTGGATTACCATTCAAAATGGTGTAAAAACTCAAGATTAATTGATAGCTGAACATTCTACGACAATTTCATCAAAATCTGTGTAATGGTTTAGAAATAGGTGCAACAAATATATAAATTCTACTTTTGCCCGTGACTTAGTCCATGGAGAATAAAAACTAAAGTAAATAGTCTGTGTTCTTCCAGACTGTACTCTACAGCTATGTTAAATTTAATTGAGATTCGTTCGTGAGTAGGTCACACTTGAACTGAATATTCCATTTCAATTTTGACGTCTATCTAGTTAAGAGCGGGCGCACACTTTTGACTAAGCTATCGCACAATAGTTGTGCGATTATCGTTTGTTTCACAGCCAATTCAACTGTTTAGTTGCATAATTACAAATCAAGTAGTGTGCATACCTATATAAACTCATACAAATCTTAATGCAACTAAACAGTTGTGCGATAGTTTAGTTTTAGGCAGAACAATCTAAGATTTCAATGTTCAGTTGTAAATCTCATTTTCTTTGTTTCAGAGTGCAGATGACAGATTTATAAGTAGTGGTTCTGTGGACGGCACAGTCTGCATATTTGACGTACAACAAGGCAAGTTAATACACACAATAGAAGCTCACACTAAAATTGTCCGAAGTGTACAATTTTCAATGAATCTTCTTGTAACAGCTTCGGATGATGGATTTGTTAATATTTACGAGTCGTAAGTGTTATTTGATGTATATGTTTGTTTTGGGATGTCCAGTGCCCCAAGTTGTAACAAAAAAGATGTTACGATTGTCTCTGCTTTGATGAGTGCATGTTGACAAGGGTGGAAGGCCATTAAAGTCTAGTTTAAATTGAGTAATTACTAGGTTTCTCCCGCGACTCCGTGCGTGGTATTTTAAAATAAGAAAGTAAGAAGCATATATGTTATCCCAGACCACATATTTATAAGCATTCTCTTTGGAATTAAAAAAAATACTACTAGCCTCCCCTCTAACATCATCCTTCTCTTAGATCAACAGCTGTAAACGCCCATTTGTAATAGAAACTTTATTTATGTATTTTTTTTAACTTTAAATTATATACATATCAAGTGACTAGCTGTTCCCTTGCGACTTTATCCGCATAAAATTATGAAAATGTTCTTCTTCTTCTTCTTTTAATGTTTAGTGAACCCCATCGTTATTTCGATGATTTCGCGAACGTCAAGGTTGAAGATAATTGAAAGTATATAAAACGAGACTAAAATTATGAGTAGCAGGTAACTAGAAAGACGGAATCCAGTGTAATTGACAAATGAATGGTAGCTGATGATATCAATCAAGGCTCTGTAATAGGACAACACCAATGTTACTATACTACACCCTAAATACAAAATTTATATATTTTAATTACAGTTTAATATTATTGGAAATTAAAAATTTAAATAAAACCTTCACCAGGGGGCTGTAAACTAAGGTTAGCAAGAATTGAATATTAATGGGTCTAGGAATTTGGGTAGGAAGAATATCATATAAGTGAACTTTAAGTTTCGGACAATTAAAAAATATATGTTCTAAGGATCCCTCATCCAAACCGCACTCACACAAGGAATGATCATAAATACGAATTTTGGCAAGAAATACTGGGGTGGCGACAAAACCCAGACGTAGGCGAGTTATTATAGAAATTGTGAAACAAAAGAAAATGAAAATTTTATTTTGTTGTTTACATGTGTCAAAGTATCAATTGCAAATGTCAAAGTGACATGTCATTTTGACACACCATGGCAACCTTGTTTCCTTGATGTTGGCAACAACTTATGGTCTCTTTCCCACATTAGGGTTTTTATATCAAAATATTTACCCCATAAGTTTAATTGCGAGAAAATATATAACCTAAAGCCTGATGTAAGTGTGGGGCTTTTTATTAAAAAAAAGAATTATTCAAAAATATGCTGTAATTGCTAAGATCTTAGGCAACAAAGAAGTGTGTGTTTACGCTTTATTATAATAGTATAGAGTATAGAAGTATAGATTATAACTTCATTTACACCACCAACTGGATCCAACCTGATTATTCTAGAAAATATAATAATACTATACTTTACTTAGGGTAGGCTCCGAACCCCACATTAGGGACATATAGTGAGCTGGTGATGACCATTTAAAGTACTGATTAATGTTAAAAGTGGGGCAATATTTCTTGCCATTTATGAAGTTTCCTTGTTTTAGTGGCAGTGGGAACCTTATTAAAAACGTGAATCTGAAGTGCGGTGTACTCAGCGCCTGTTTCTCTGTAGACGGTAACCGCGTGTGTGCGGCGCGCGTTGACGGCGCCGTCTGCCTCATAATGCTGGCCGATTACAGCATAGGAAAACTGTTCCACGAACATTCCAGTATGGTATGTCAATAAGCAGTACATATATGGCCAGTACAGTTAATAACAATAACTGGACTGGCGAATAGCACGTGAACATTAAAAGGTGCCAGTGAGTTCAAATTATGACTGGCCATCGCATGTCTAACTGTACTGGCCAAGTGTGAACCGCCTTAATTCTAGCTTTTGCCCGCTTCTCCGCGTGGAATTTAAAACAAAAGTGTGTCTATGTTTTCTTCCAAACTGCTCTATATCTATGACAAATTTTGTCGAGATCTCTTCAGCAGTTTAGGCTACAAACTCTAACATATTTTCACATTTGTAATATTAGTAAGATTATCAAAATGTCTTGTATACTAACATTATAAAGAGGAAAGATATATTTTTGTATGTATTTAAATAACTCAAACCCTACTGGCCCGATTTCATAAATTCTTCCACCATTAACATTTAACATTTATGTATTTCAATATTCTATTCTATTCTATTTCTTGTTTATGGCTCTCCCACAGCGGATTGGGCCAGTGTTTGTGGTTTTTATTCTAATTATTCCAATATTTTATTTATATTTTTGATTTCAGGTTTGGGATGTCAAATTTAACCCAAAAAGTGACCATGTAGTGTCAGTTTCCAAGGACAAATGCATCAATGTTTATGAATGCCCAATACCGCAGAGAGATATCAAAAAGTGAAGTGTATTTAAATATTGCAATAAACACTATATATAATATTTACTTATTTTTACCCTTTACAAGTTAGAACGAAAAAGTCGAATTGTAAAACATCACACACTTAAAACATAACCTAAAAGTCAATACAAAGGAATTAATTTTCTAAACATCTGAGGGTCTATCGTAAAGATTCGTGAGAACGTATTCGTAACGTCATCGACAATTTGTATTACATTAGTGCACCTAACGAACGAAAATTACACAATTTTCATAATTGTCGATGACTACGAATACGTTTTTGCAACAACAGTTTAACAATACAAATATTCATCATAGCTCTGTTTTACAACCTATTATATAACCCGGGAATATATTTGCAAGACAATACACAAACATTTGCCAGTTTCGTGCACGCTATTGGCGATTGTGAAGTCTAACTTTCCTACCAATAGATGGCACTATATTTGATTTCTTACATCTACGGGCAAGTTGAAGGTCGAGGAGGTACGAAACTTAACACTGCCATATCTAATTTCATACAATATCTTTGACAACTTGCTGATATGATATACCAGTAGTTAGCATGCTACTATCCCGTTATACTGGCATGTATTTCCGCCTATTGTTCGAATGGTAAGTATGACGTCACAAAAAAAAAACAATTTCAAACGAATGAAAGCAAATATGGAAGCATAAAAGTTTCCAGCATTGGTAAATATTGACCCTGCTTGATAATATAAATCGCTCCTAAGCCGATATCACCCTGAGGGCGGTTGATTAATTTTCGCCACTAAGAGGATTGGGGCACGTCAGTCATACAAATCTAGCTTAATACGGTACACAGATTTAATGTTACAGATTGTAGGTTAGTTTTTATAATAATTTTATACAAAGATAATTCGTATTTTTATATTCTTAACAATAATATAAAGTCTGACTTTAGGTAACATCGATGATACTTAACAAAACATTGTCCCTATTTTATTGAATAAAAAAACAAAACGTTCCAACTTACGTAAATTCGAAATTAACTACTACATGTAATTAGACTTGTATTTTAAGCGCATGTTTTAGTAAATAAATAGTTATTTTTAAATATGACACGATTTAAAAATAAATCAGAAAAAGAAAAAAAATACAAATTTGAATATAAGCAATGTTGTGATTTACATTATACAATAAAAAAACAGCAATTTTTTAATTTTTAAATTCGGTAACATAAAAACCATTACTCATTAATGAAAGCGAAACTTCGATGACCTTTTCGTGCTGCAAAAGAATCTGGTTTCATATTTAATATAAATTTGTGCGAGTTGTCGATCGAACTTTACCTTAAATGGCACTGATATTCCAAAAAAATGTCACGTAATAAATAATTATATTAAAATATGTTAAACTCAGAAGTTAAATGTTGTTTGGTTATTTTGTTGTAATGTTAAATGATTCGATGAAGAGGCCAGACCTCACCCACAGCCTTTAATTAAGATTAAACAGCTGTGAAAAAAAAAACAAATGTTTTCCAAATTCAAGATTGACAACTCACGAGAATGTTTTATAGATTAAATAATACCTAACCTTAAATATTCCCGTACATTTTACAAATAATATATGATCATAGATTAGAAATGAAAATAAACAGTTTAGAAACACGTTTCTCGCAAAACATTACAAATTGTTTGTCGCTATTGCAAATTAAATAAAAATAAGCTTCGTAATGCTAAGTTTAATTCAATCCTTATTGCAGCAAAACTATGTAGTCTATGATTTTAATGAGTCCTTTGAAGGATAAGACTTTGAAGAAGAAAGTTCTGAAGACGCATTTTGCTTCATAACTCTAGCTTTTACTAGACGTTCACTTTGAATTAAAGTCTTTTAGAATTTATATGAAGTTTTACTTACGTTACATAATGACATTCAAAATAAATTGGAATATATATAAAACCGGAGGATTCAATAAATACGACTATACATTTAATTTTTTAAATGTTAATAAATGATACACTTTATTCAGTAAACAGGTATCATTCATAAGGCTGCTTAAAGCTTTGCGGGCAACCTTCACCTCGCGAGCCTTTGTACCTGCTACAAATATTTCACGACCCAAAGCCCCAGGCGGTAGCAAAG